CTGTTTGGCATGCCTTCGTTGTTAGACCATTGGACGGAGAGAGAAGGGGGGGGGGGGCTATTGAGAGAAGTGGCAGCGGTAGGGTAGAGAGAGGAGCAGGGGCGGTAAGTGGCCTAGCCAGGGAGCTGGCGACGTGGGTGTAGTTTGAGTGGGGGGGTTGCAGCGGGGTTGTGAACAACGGGGCACGGGGTGAGGCAGCAGAACCGATTTCGAGAAGGGGGCTGCGCTGTGTCAAGGGCATGCTGGTTTGTCGCAGGCGTGTCCACGTTTGAGCTAGACAGCATCACGACTTGGCTGCGAGGACGTTGTTTGACGACATGCCGCTCGATGGTGCCTGCCGCAGGTGCTCAAGTTCCAGGAGGCGCAGAACAGGGTGTCCGCCTCCAACGACTTTTTCCGGGGTCTGTCCAAGGAAGCCGACCTCGTCATGGACGGAGATCTCCTCATGGTGCGTTTCGTCTTTTCTATCTGTCTGCCCTCGACCCTTCATGAGGATATCGCATATATGAGTGTGTATTCGATCGTCTGATCTGTTGACGACCGTTCGATCGGCTGATGTGTTCAGAACCACCAGAGCTTCCGTGTAGCTGACGGCTACATGATCACGAGGCCACTTATAGACAGAAGTCGAAAGCAGTACTCTGTAACCAAGATGTTTGCGGGGCAAGGAGAGGTGTATCTTGTCCACTCCACCGCGTTTGTTTTGTCGTGGCTACTGGCTGGCTGATTCGACCGCTTGCTTGCGAAAGAAACGCATACGCATAGAGGGTAACTTGTGAAGTCTGTAGGTACTTCGCATCGTCCTCTCGCGGTTCCACAAAAGGTCTCTGTCTGTCGTACGGGTATCCGCTCTTTTGAACTACAGGTTAAACCAGTCCAATGTATGGGTCCATCCCACGGAAGTAACATAGACCAACGCCGAATATCCCGCAAATCTTAAATCGCCGCCGCCCCAGCGCGCACACGCACGCGCTTGGAGGAGATGGATCAGATTGCTTTGTTCGATCTTATCGCGCGGGTTGATTGAGCAAGAGCCCTCTGGTCGGTGACAAGTTTGGTAGGCCGGTAGGGTTCGCCTGATGGATATTTTATCTCATTCTCTATATTCCTCTCTCTCTCTCTCTCTCTCTCTCTCTCTCTCTCTCTCTCTCTCTCTCTCTCTCTCTCTCTCTCATTCTCGTCCGTGTTGATAGAGTTGACATGCAAACGTGAACGCGGAATCGTTCGATTCTTACGGTCGATTCTTGCTCGTTGCAGATGATCATGCCTTTCTTTTCTTTTTCTTTCTTGCATTTTGTTCTGTTCGCGACTCGGCGTTGTTAGGAGGACGCGGGCGCCAAGCCGGACGCGGCGGCTCAAGGGCGAAGGGGAGTGAAGGGATTGGGCAAGAAGGGAAACCAGCACGCGGCGAGACTGGCGGCTGGGGCTAGACAGGCGCTGGCGGTGAGAAAACGTTCAGTCCTGTTTACATTATGCTGCCGCCGCCTCTGATGTTTTTTCAGAAAATTGTACATACAATCGCAGAAAGACTGCCCGTCCGAAACATAAACCACAGCAGTAGTCCAAAGGGGTGTGCTGAATGAAGTCTTGACAACAGCGAGTGGGAGAAAACCGGCTGGGTTTTTGTCTCAGGCGTGGTCTTGGCTTTGTTCGTTCACCCCGCACCCAGTAGCCAGGGAGGGTTGCGTGTTTGTGATGAACCATTTCGCCGGGGCTCACACCCACACGGGTAGTCTTCCCCGCACGCCCTCTCTGTCACTCGACGTCTCGTTATTTGTTGCGTTCAGCATTTGTGGTTGTCTTGTAGCTGCCTGGTTGTAGCTAACTGTCGGGGTCGTTTGGAACGCTCTTGCCATGGAGTCTATATCGTCGAGTGCTGGATACTGTGCGATCGGTCTGGATTTTTTGTAGGGAGAGGAAGGTGTGGGAATTTTTAGTTCCCCAACCACGAGGTACGTACGTACAACATCCTTCGACGTGTTTCATGCAACATTCTTGTGCGTGAATATCGTGTCAAATAGACAGGGGGGGGGTCAAAGTAAGCGAAGGCTTTGAATGCCCCCGTATTCACTAGAGACGGCCACGCTCGCAGTGACTCCCTGCCCCCCCTTTTGCCTGCCTCTCGTGGAAATCCCCAACAGGTATCGCTGTCGCGGCCTTTGCACAGCGACCGGCGGAAGCTGATCCCGGTCGCGCAAGCCCTGACCGACATGAGAGCGGTGTCTGAGCGGACGGCGGCGGGGGACCTTGCGGGGAAGCAGAGGACAAGGAGCGGAAAGCAAAAGCCATGAAGTAGAATAGAAATATGTGGTGCGAAGAAAGGAGGACACGATGTGCGTTGCGGAAGCAGGAAGCTGCGTAGCGGCGTAGCGACGAGAACGCCGTTCACATGAGCGTGGGGGGGCAAATTCCTCAATTGCATATTGCGTTTTCTGCTGCGGCTAAAAAAAAAATAGGGGTACGACAGGATGCGGGTGCTGCTGCTGCTGCTGCTGCTTCCAGAATTGCCATTGCTTTCCCTCTCGTATTTATGAGCTGTTTGTTGTCTGCTACTGTTGTTGGTGAAGATGGCGCTCTGCCGGCTGTCGCATGTTCTTGCCTTCCATCAAGAACGCGTTGTGCGGGGGTCATTTGTTGTGTATCACGCTTGCTTGACGCCTGTTTTCTGGTGTCCCAATTGAGTGTTTTTTGTCAGGATAGGGTAGGTTCGGTGAACGATGGGCGATCTCAAGCAACGGCGCAACACCGGGAGGGTTATGAGCGGCAAGCCATGAACGACACTCCAAGACACAGAGCGTTTCATCCGAAGGGTTGGGGGCGTTGTCGCATACACACATGCAGTCAGTAGTGTTTCCCCTTTTGCCGTTCCTTGCAGACTTCTACAGATGCTACTCTACCTCCCAAACCGACAGCTCCGGTCACAGGGCTGCGCCGATGTCGCCCACTCCGACATCCGTCACAGACATGTTGTCTTTGCGTCGCATGACGATTGCGATTGTGAATATTCGAGTGGCCCACTGAGAACTTTTCCTTCTCCTTCACCCTGACGACCGCACACAGCGTTCGATCGATTCGATGCCGCTGAGCTGGCGCATCAGCTCGCGAACTATGTACGTCCGAGTGTGCCTGTGTTGCGCCGAGTGATGCCTGACCAGAGTTTGTCGCATACTCAATCGCTGTCGCGCTAGGAGGGAGCTGCCTGCATGTGTGTGTCGTCGAGACGTCTAGCCATATACCGTAGGTTGCATAAAAGATACCGCAACCCCTGGAACGATCTTCAAAGAAAGCTTCATTATTACCGTAATTGTGCGTGTTATCGCACCCCCATGTTGTTAGCGTTTTCTCGTAGCGTATTTCTCCACAACTAGGAGTGTGCGAACACCAACCGATACCTCTTAGGAAAGCCCTCGACGAGATGTTTCCAAAACCACCCTTTTCGGAGGTGATACCTCCCTAGTTGTGGAGAAATACGCTATAGAACAACGCGAACACGGGGGGGGGGTGATAACACGCACAGCAATTAATTATACGGTACTCCACGACGAAGAGGATGCTGAAATCGAAGGATATGTTGTCGGAAAGCTCTCGACGAGACAGTTCCAACGCCACCATTTTCGGCACCGTGACTGCTTTTCCTGCCGAAGTCGAGCTTTGAAAATCGGGCCAGGGGGTGTGATATCTCATGCAACCTTCGGTAAGTACTACTGAAGTGCTTCTCGCTCATGTAGCGGTCTCCACATGGAAGCAGTGAGGTAGGTACACTCCAGCCTTCACGAGTAACTTCCTCTCTGGCAGTAGGTGCACAAGTTCAATATTTGGATGCAAATATGCAACGCAGCAGTGGGCGGCGTCCATCATGTTCGTCCACGACCGACGCTGAATATCTTCAACGGACAAATCATGTTGGATCTTCCTACAAACGCTCAAGATGAAAATATCTCAAAGATAGTCGCGTACTTTGATGGGTGTGGTTTTTCTCTCTTGCTGTTGTCCTACCCAGCGCTTGGCAAACGTCTTGAAATCGATCCTGTGAACGTGGTGATGTAAGCGCCGGAAGGTGCCATCTTCCGTACCGTAAAAAACAAGGGGGCGGCGAACATGACAACATGGCCCAAACGAACCCAGCGGAACTGTGCGGCCGACGGGCGATCCTCGTAAATACCCCGAACGTCATCTGGCGGCCCCGTGTATGTATGACCCGGGGGAGGCTTTGCCCCGTCCGCGTTCGTCAACCTGGTGCACCATCCGCCTGCTCCATCACCTCTCTCACACACACACGCCGCCTTCGTCCATCAAGAATGGTCACCACACGAGCGAAGGGCGATGCTGAGGCAATTAACGACGAGGTGAGCTTGTTCTTGCCCCTGAGTTCGTGCGACTGCTGTGTGGTCCCAGCACTCCTCGCTGCAAATCTCTGACAGACGAGACGCGACGGCGGGGAGATTTGATTTCCATAAAACAAACTGCTGGTTTGGAGTTTGGAAGGATTCGAGAGAGGGAGCGAGAGCCAAATGGCAAGCCGCTGGATCTTCTGGTTGTCTCACTCTCCGTTGTTGGACGCTAAGGAGTCATTGGAAGCAGGTTGCTGGTGGATAATTTTTCATGTTGCCAATGCCTTGTACTTTCGTTCGTGATACTACTGCTACTACTATTATAGCAGTGTACTTTACGCATGTTCACTTCAACATCGCGTGTTGGCTGTTCGTGCACAGCAGTAGTGTGCCAAGGGCAGAGGTAAGAGAAAGACTTGCACTAGCTGCGCACGGAGTCGGGCAAGAGTTGCAGACGATCCCATTTACGCGCGTGACGGAGACAGAGCGGGAGGATTGTCTTATTTTTTTTACCGCCGGGTGCGTGACTACTGCTGTGTGACGTCTTGACGGTTTCGTCAAACCATCACCTCGTCATCAGTAGGCTGCATTTGGATTGTGGATGGCTAAGAAGGTCTGAGCAGAGAGAGGAACGATTTTTAGTGCTTCTGTTAAACCAAACCAACAGCAACAACAACAACGAAGACGACGATAACAGCAACAACCACATTAAATTACGATGAAAAACTGGAGAGAGACTTTTTGCTAATGCCGGGAGGCTTGTTCTTTAAGAACGGAATCGCTTCGCGGCGATCGACGCACGCTGGACGCGGCGCTTCGCTTTCTTCATGACTTGTTGTAGCGGGGTGTGAGCACCACAACGCCGCCAGCACGGCAGGTGCTTGCTACCATGCCACCATTTCAATCGTCCCTATCGAAGCCGGTGCCTATAGTCCATGATGACCGATCAGACGTTGCTACTCCCACGGCATGGTAGCCGACGTAAGTCGTTCCGACCCACACACACATGAACCAACGCAGGCATTGGAAGTGACCCTTGGTCCACGCATACGACCGCTGTTACTGGCCCACCATGACTTTTATGAGAAATATAGGCAGTTCATGTACCCCGTAGCACTGCGGGTTGTTGGATCGAGGTGCAGTTACCCTTGCAACACTCCCGTCTCAACCTGACGCTATTGGAACAACATCTTGTGATTACTGGACAGGTGACCGCTTTGGTACACAACGGCGGCGGCGGAGGCGAAAACGGAAACGGGGGCTCGAAAGAGTGCAGGAGTAGTAGTAGTAGTGGCGCGGATCCGTTGGACGATAACGAGGCCGTCAAGACCTACATCAGGAACTGCCGAGCATACGATGTGAGCAACACCGTGGCGTAGGGAGGCGGAGGGCGAGGGTCCCCTCGGACATGTTGGCTTGCTGCCCGTACGGAACTCGTCAGAGGAAGGAGGAGGGACGGGTGCGAGCATGGGGGGGGGGGCGCGCCGCAAGTGCAGAATTCATTGCCTATGGGAGTATGACCATGTCGATTAAAAACTGAAAAGCGCAGCCTTCGCGTAAAAATATTCCTCCCGGTACGCAAAGCAAATAATGGTTATGTACGCTGTCGAGCTCTGGCGCATGCTGGCAGGCGCAGGCGGGGGAAAGTCGTTGCGTGCGCTAGCCGTACGACTGCTGCTGTGCTCTACATGCGGCAAATGCGCTTGTTCGTTTCGTTTGGCCTCATCTTGTTCGTTTCGTTGGCCTCATCTTGTTTTCCCTCCAACACAGCAAAGCATTAGACTCCTGGGGCTATGGAAGCAATCACGGGGGCTTCTTTACGATGCTGGACAAGGAGTCTCGTGAACTCCCCCCCTCTCTATTTATAATAGCAACACGCAGATATAGTGTGTAAGGGCAGGGTTCTCATGAACTCCCCTCCTCCCCTTCCAATAGCAACGCGCAACGGGCGGTGTAAGTAAGTTCTTGTCACCAAGGCTGATTGCTTTGTGACGTGTGCGACGTTTTTTTTCCGACGGCGGTCGGAGCAGGTCCCGGTGGACCCGAGCGTGGTGATCTCGCTCAAGACGGAGTGGGACGTGTTGCAGCCGACGAGAGGCTTCGGGGCGGGCTCCATGCTGCCGCTCGCCGGGGTGCTGGACACCAACAAGCACGTCAAGTGAGGAGAAGGAGGAGGAGGAGGAGGAGGAGGAGGATGACCTTTCTTTTCGGGCCTGACTAGCGTGGGTTGTCAGTTGTGTGTGGTGGCAGCGAGGGTTTGGTGTTGTCTGTGCAGCGGTTCGTTCCTCTGTTTGCCATTTTTGAGGCGCTGGCTGTGCTTGCCGATGTCGTTGTTGTTGTTGTTGTTGTTGCCTTGAAGGCTGAAATGGTCTCTTCTCCACCCTACACGTGTTCGTGCCTTCACTTCACTACAACATCTAGCGGCATCGTGTGGCGATTAGGGTGTACCCAGCCCAATGCGTGCTTGCGTGGTCCCTCGAGTGCTCGAGAGACGCTTTGACAGCTAGGTTGAGACGTTGGACTGGCGCTGCCTCCCTGGCACCCTTCTGCGTACCATACTGCTGTAGACCTGTTGATTTCTCCCCTGTTTTCTCTGCTAGGTAGGCGACCAGACGTCCTTCACACTGTTAGGCAGCCCGGGTCTCGTTCGTGAATTTGCTAAAAAGACTACCGCAAGAGGCGAAGAGGTGGTAACCCCCCCCCCCCGAGACCGACTTTCAGGAGCTCGATTGCTCCACGACCAAGATTGATTGTACCAGCTCCAGAAATGGAGGTTGTGGAAACATGTCGTCGGGGGCTTTCCGCTAGAATTGTTGGGCCCTTTCTACGCCCCTTTGGCTGTGGAGCAATCGACCTCGGTCTTGGGCGGGGTGCCATCTCTCCGCCTCGTAAATCACTCTCTCTTCTCGTGAACAGATTTCGACCCTTGGCCTCCCCCTCCCCTGTAGTGGCGGAATGTCAGTTGTACGAAAAGGAGAGGGAAGTGTACATGACTGAGCTGGGAAAAATACAAAGGGAGGTACAAGGAGATGTTCGAGGCATGGAATAGAGAGGAGAAGACAGTAGCTGTACTGGGGAATAGGAAGTGGTTTGAAAAGGCGGGAGATGATATCGGTAGGATAGATAGACTAGGGAAGGCATTTTTGAGCCACGTTTGGCAAAGTAGGAAGGAACGATTGGCCATCGGTGATCGGTCTTGTGGGAACAATGCTCCGTCCTCTCGAGGACGCGTGGTCAATGGTCTATAACCGGTGAGGCATTGCAAAACATAAGAGTACGCCCCCCCTCCCCTGACGCCTGAGAGACTCCCTCGCTATAAATTACGGAGGCAAAAAAAAAGAGCGCCCGAACGTTGGCAGCATTCTCAGATATTCAGATCATGAGCGGTGTGCTCAATCTCGAAATGCGAGCACGGTCAACCAAACTGACCAAACCAAGCCATAACTAGTACCTCGTGTCTTTCCCCCCCCCCCTCCCCCCCCCTCAACGGCCGAACCGCTATCTCAACTGGCCGGCGTACCACTACTACCGCGGGGGGCACCGCAAACAGGAAGCTGAGGCTAAGGGGAACGGGGTCCACGCAGCGGAGACCCGTCGCCGGCGGGGGCAACTCCAACGCGCGAATCCTGGGACGCATCTTGGCTCAGAACGACACCATCGAGCATCTCGACCTCAGGTGTGTGCGCGCGTGCGCGCGTGTTTGTTTGTGTGTGTGCATGTGTGTTTTTTGCTATTGGCATCGACCACGCTAACCGGCTGACCAATGAAAAGATGCCAGTCTCAAGTGCAGTTGATGTGTGTGTGTTTTTTTTTTTTTTTTTTCAATGTATCATCGACAGCACCATGTAGCCGGCAAATGAACACGATGTTGGTGTTACGCTAGCGAGGTAAATTTACGAACGTTGACATGTTTGCTAGTAGTAAGAGGTCTACCGCGTGCGTGTGTGTGTGTGTGTGTGTGAATTGGCATGGACCGCGGACAACCATCCCTCTCTGCACAAAAATTCAACGGAGAAAATCCTGCCTGCCCTCTCCGTACCGGGCTAAGGAAGACGTCACTACCTATCATACGACCTTGGCATCCCTTCTGCCACGACGGAAGGACCCTTTTATGTCGCCATCCAACACCACACAAAAATGACGAACACGTCTTTCGTTGGCGGCCGTCGGCCCGTACTTGTCGTTATCCTTCACCTCTTGAACACACAAAAAAAATGGTGAAGATTTATCTCTCGTTGGTATGCATACAACTAGACCCCGCTAGTTGGTATCCTCGAAACCTTCCAGAGGTCACGTCATGGGTTCGAATCCCGGCGTAAGCGAGCTTTTCTTGCAAAATGAGTTTTTCTCTCGCTTCCGCTCCTGGTCTAGTGGATAGCGCTAGTTGGTGTGTACACAGAGGGAAGAGAGTGCTGAACTCTTCTCGTAGGCAAAGTACCGCAGGAGGGGAAGGTAGAGAGGAGCTCTTCTGTGTGACCACGGGTTGGAGTAAACGGCACTAGTGCTGTGCGCGCTGATTTGAAGTGAAGACAAAAAAAAAAAAAAAAAATGCCACCCTCCGTGCTTGCTTTTGTCGTCCTTCCCTCCTCGTTTTTTTTTTCTCCCTTTTTCATCAGTAACACGGGGCTTGACGCGGCCGTTTTTTTGTCGTCCGTTCCCCCCTCCTTTTTTTTTTCTTCTTTTTTGTTGCAGTAACACGGGGCTTGACGCGGACGGTATGCGCGAGCTGTGCGCCGCTTTGGAGAAGAACTCCTCCCTGACCGACCTCAACCTCTCCAGGAACCGTTTCGGGGCGGAGGGCGCGTCGGTGCTGGAAGGGACGCTCGACTCCGCGCCTGCGCTCAGAGCACTAGACGTTCGAAGGTACGTCAGTTATCAGTCCATGGAGATAGATGCTCGTGTGGTGAATACGTCACCGGGACGGTCGAAGCTAGATGTGTGTACCTGGCTGCAGACCAGCAGTTGGGGGTGGGGGGTCGGGTCTCCGTGACGACGCGTGTGTACAGCAGTGGGTCGTGAATGGTATGGACCCAGGTGTGCAGACTTTTTGTTCGGGCCGCAGCTGCAGCTTTCGACCGCACGGCCCCAGCAACAGATCTGGGCCACCTCCATGATGCACTCAGGTCGGGAATCCGCGCGCCGGAAGGAGGGCGTTGTTCTTGCTGGATTTAGACTAGAAAATTAGCTTTTAAACACCGTAGTTGACAAGAACACTGCACTCGGTTCCCAACGATCTACGACAAGCATCAAGCGAGGATGCCCCCGCCCTCCCCCGCCGGTCCCTTCGCTCCCAACGCTGCCGCCGATCTGGGCGTGTTATTGCTGTGTTCACTGTTTACTGTTGCTGCTGTTTTGCAGCAACGCCCTCGGGTACAAGTCTATCGCGAAGATCCAACGGCGCTGCTGCTGCCGACCGTCCGGTTGCCGAGAACTCGCGGTCGAGGTGGATGGTAACTTCGTCTTCGAAGAGGTATGCATGAATGAATGGTCCAGGTTTAAGCACTACGATCTCATCATACACGGCAGTGTTGGCACGGATTCCGCTGCGGCACAAGACAAGATTTCGCCTGCCAGTTGGTGTACTACTGACACGAGTTCCACAGCAGTAGGGTTCTGCTGCCGTGCGAGCGACAGGACGCGAAACACAGGGTTGCTGCTGTGCGAGATACGAAACACGAGTACCACAACATCGCTTTTTGCACAGGATCCACCCACAAATACGCATACGGTCGGGTTTCCTCTAGTAAGGGGGTGGGTGTGCGCCTGGCCGATTCACACGCCCTGTAACGGGCACGCACCCTATATATAAAACCCGCACCATTGAGGGACCCCGACTGTATTTTTTCCGACAACGAAGGTCGTATTGACCCGAATTTTGAGTTAAAAAAAGAACCACGGGTCTTGTCACACTCCGCGAGCATACAATACATGAAGTATTTTATGCTGTAGCATCTCCTCCCGGACATGTGTCTCAAACGCCTCCAACTCTCGTACTACTGTGGTGGTATTTCTTCTTTGACGCGGTTTTGAATGAGGGAAGGTTTTGAACGCCGGCACGCACGGGGTCGGGTTCGTGGCGGCCATAATCGGGGCGTTCTTACTCATGACGGAAGCTTCCCAGGAGGGAAAGAGCCCCGAGCACTTCTGGGGCTGCGCGATCTTCTCGGCCAGCCTGATGTTCCTCTACCTGGCATCGACTCTCTACCACAGGTTATGTTCGTATGAAGGCGTACATGTTTATTTATTTATTTATTTATTTTCTTGGTGCTACTCCTATATATATATTTTTTTTTGTTTACATGACAGAGAAACCATCTCTATCCACGGATGAGAGTCCAGGGTAAAACTGCAATAACTCATGGCACTAGCGGAGCAGTAGTGTTTGTGTGTTGATGCACGTGACACATACAAATGCCTGAAGCCCAGGAAAAACGTGTGTGTGTTTTTTTTAAGAACATGGGGGCTGAAGATACATTCCGAGAACCGCAAAAAAATTGAGAGACGCAGTACTTGGAAGGGGTGGATCACAAAAAAATATTCAACCATAAGACCCTATCCAATGTGTAACTAGCTGTTGCTTGACGGTGGGGAGTGGAGTGAGATCTTTGAACTTCGCAACGATCGTTGTTACGTTGAGGTTGAGGTCGTCGGTTTCAGCGATTGTGTGTTGTTGGCGTTACCTTGCGGCAAGCCGGGTTTTCCTCTGCCTAGATGGCGTCGACTCGTTCCCACAACAGGGGGTTTAGGTGTACGATGTATAGTGTATAGCAATACACGTACCCATTCAAACTTCGTACTCCATTCAAACTTCGAAGTGTTTCGCACGATGTTGAAACATCGCTCTTCTTCCCCCTCAATGAAACAAACTCAGCATTCGACTGTGGTTATACATATCTCAAATGGGCAGTCTTTCGGTGTTTTTATGTGTTGTCTATTTTCTGAAAACAAACTCATGTCGCTCTTTTTCGCCCCCTGCCTAGCTCC